TTTTTTTTTTTCCAGTGGCCCTAATCCTCTTCCGTACTATCCAGTTTATACATTTCTTGCTGTGTATATTTTTGTGGGCACACTATTTACGCTTACAAAGATTAAGAAAGAAGATAGAGATGCCTGAAGCTGGCATGAGTATCTCTGTGTTCCTCATTATATCCCGCTGTTGTCGTTTACTGAGATTACCGAGTGTGTGAGAGAGTGGACCCAATAATAGCCTCAGTGATCAGATTGCCCCCTGCTATATTCTGAGCTCAGCTAACTGGATGGAGACACTTGGCAGCAGTTAGCTAATCAAAACACTTCCAAGTGAACAAAGCAGCGATGAACCGACAAGGTAAGACCAACTCATATTGTTTATAGGTTGTTGTGTATTTGATATACGAAGTTATTTCTTTACTTTTATAGGTAAAAGTAAAGAAATAACGTTTTTTTTTTTAGTTGCTTGCTTGTTTTGGTGACTTTATGCTGACGTTTGCACCACACGCAACAAGTTAGCCTGTTAGCTTGATAGCCTGCGAAGGAATGACTTCAGGACCGCGGACAGCTCCAACAGATTACAGGGGGAAAAACAGGACAATATTCTTCTGCTTTCTTTAAAAAATTTGGAAATTAGAAGTTGCAATTCAACATGTTTGTCTTTACCTTTCTAAATGCTAATTTCTGATAGAAGAAAGTAGTTCAGGTTTGCTGAAATGAAGCTTAAAGTCAAATTTCTCATACTAAAGACGTTTAAATTTAAACTAATTTAAACTAAAGACGAAAAATTTTGTTGATAAACACAGAAAATTATATTTTATCTACATTTATGAAAAAAAAATCTGTATATTTTTATTTATGTGTTTTATTATTATTTATGACTACACACATTGAATCAAAATACTTTATTTTTATATTTTATATACTTTAGGTAAACAAAACTTTTTCTATTTTTTGATGCGTTGATCCGAATAAGGTTTAGAACTAAGTTGTTTTGTTTTATTGTTTTCCTTTTCTTCTATCTTTCATTTATATTTTAAAATGTAAAATCCTCTTTTGCCTTGCAGCGTTGTATCAATCTGATTAAACATTAAAATAAGCAATCAGTCGCTCATGCAACATCAAAAGATTGCTTTTTGTGTGATCAAAGAAAATTGAACTGTGAAAAGAACGAAGCGGTAACACCTAGGTGTTTGAAACTACCTAATTCAACAGTATGTGCACAAGAATATGTAAGCCTTATATATAAAATCAGGAACAACACAACAAACAAATGCATTGAACAACTTGTTTATGTAAGTTATGTTGTTTCTCATCCATGAACTTGTAGTTTTATTGTTCTTATAAATTTGGATATTTCTTAGATTGTCTTTTTTTCCCCTCCTCCTTTGTACTTGTTTAGTAAATTTGGAATATTTTAAAGATAAATAGGGCTAAACAAACAAGTTAATTTATAAACCAATTTAATTGTGAGTTATTTTAAGATTTCAACCCCACATTTAAATACCAAGAATAACACTAATCAAATATACTAATTAAGATTTTTTTAAATGTACTTCTTTTAAAAGAAGGGAATTATAGTACAGATTTAGAACTGCAGAGTTTAAGTTGACTGATAATTACCGTTTGGTTATCTGCTTTACTAATTTTTTAGCTTATTGCTTCACTTATTTGAGCAATTTGTATACTACTGATCTTAATCTAAATGATATTAAATCAAGACTTATTAACAATAATAAAGATGGATATGGTTTAAAGAACAAGTGTATCTCTCTTTTACTCACTATTATGATTTGACAGCCTGCCTATACACTAAGTATTATGTAGGTTCCAAATGAGATTTTTTTATCACTCAAAAACCTTGTCAAACAATTATATTTATGCTAAAACACAGTAATTCTCACAGATGTCCCTTACAATATTTTCTCTTCTTTTCCCTCCTGGTTTGTCAATCTCATCTTCTAAATTTAATATTTGTCTTGTCTCTGTTTCAAAGCATTTAATGGGACGTCTTCGTCACTGAACTTTTCCACAAGGACTACAGGTAATGGATGCTCTCACACAAGTCTAGGAGAAGAAGACCTGGACACTCTACGCTTTGAGCTTACAAAGGTAGTTCTCTGTTTGGTGCAATGTGTTTAAAAAGCAAGCTGAAAGGATATTTTCTTCTGAATGCAATGTTTTGTTTCCACTCGCACAGACAGAGGATGAGATTCAGACGTTGAGGCAGGTTCTTTTGGCAAAAGAAAAATATGCAGCAGATATCAGGAGGCAGCTTGGAATGAGTCCCCTCAGCAGCATGAAACAGAATCTGTCCAAAGGTTGGCAGGAAGTCCAGACCTCAGCTCCGTGGGTGCACTCAGACATTCACAAACACATACATGCAAAGATTTCTGCAAAATACTGGTGCAGTTTAACTTAATGTACTGTCATGTCACATAACATTTTATCCTCACTGTTATTGTTTGATATGGTTACATAAACAAAAGAGGGAAACTGACAATGATCGAGGCTGTCCTTTTAGGTCAGCTCACTAATCTGTCAACCTATGCATGTTTTGTCATTCCAGATATCTCACAGCCTCTGCCACTCTGGAGGACATCAGCAAGTCCAACGTGTGAGTCTTTGTAATCGTTATTTGTGCATAAATGTATATACTTTAAAAAACATTTGGATCTCGTCAACATTTCTCCCTGTTCATGTTTCCTAAAGTGAGCTCCCTTCTGAGAATCAAGTGATGGGATTTTCCAGGTCAAATAGGATTGGCGCCCTGATAATAGCCCCACAGACTGACTTAGCACAGGAGGCCGTGACTTTACAAAGTCACACCATGACAAGCCTCAAGTGTTTGTTTCAAAGAGTAAGCAAGGGATCTGCTGCAACCAGATGGAGTGTGACGACTGACGCACATAAGCTTATTGTTGTTTACATGTCATTTTGTTCCTTTGTCTATTGTATGTGCTCACTGGACTCTGTTACATAACACACAGAAACGCGCAGAGCTTTGTTTGATCAGACACCCACTTTAACTACTTTTTGTAATTTTATCTATTATCTGCAGAATTGTGAGGACACGAGATGGTCTGTCTCAAGCAGGCCAGGTGACATCTGCTGCCCTGTCCAATGTGGGCGTGGCCATCACCAGAAGACTGGCACAGATGAGGTACAGCCATAGTTGGTCCAACTTTGTCCTGCATGTTTTCCAGTTTTAATCGGGCCACATGAAAACAGGAAAAAAAAGCTTTGAACAAAAATATTCTAAAAAAGTTAAAAAGCAATCCACTGGACTTTGTTTCCAAGTTTGAAGACGTTTCGCTTCCCATCCAGGAAGCTTTTTCAACACAAAATGTCAGAGTTAGCGTTGATTTCAAGGCTTTATAGAGTGGACCAAAAAACAAAGCCTTGTTTGGCTTAGAAAACATACAAATTGAATAAAAAGACATATTCATATTTCGCTACTAATTTTATCTACGGTATATCTATACAAATGCCAGAATATATCACTGCTAATTAAGCTAATGGCTTCCTTCCACTGCACAATAAACAATAAATAGATTTTGTTTTACGTTAAATGACATATATTGTGTAACTTGTTTTTTTAAGAACAAATTTTCTCTTTTATGTGACTGAAACACATAATTAAAAATCTTTTTTTTCAACGTACAATTGATGATTATTAAATGTACACAAAATGTCACCAATTATTATTACAAGAAGCGAACCTTTTCAGATTGAGATATTTTACAGGACCAGCTGATTTATACAGTTAGTTAATGGATTATCTTATAGTTGTCAAAAGCAGTTTGTTTTTCAAGGGTTGCCTCTTAGATTTGGGTTAGCCTGATTTGTGTTGCTTGGTGCAATTGTTTGACATTGGGTGCTTACAAATGTCCCAGTGGCTCAATGTTAAAACCATACACTGAAATAAATAATGCAACCATTTTTTTGGTATTTACTCAATCCTATTTAGTTACTTTAACACAATTGTTTCATGTTAGCGGGGTAGAACATAAAACAATTGTGTTAAAGTAACTAAATAGGATTTAGTAAATGCCAAAAGCGGTTGCATTATGTTTTTCAGTGTATCCTGTTTTTTTGACTTCCAAAGAAGCCAAAACCTTATTTTAAAATAAGGTTCACAAATCATCATTGCAATGTTAGGCTAATAATCTACTAGAACTCACTCCTATGGAAGATTTCCTTACTTTTCCTTTGAGTGATACAAAAAAAAAAAAATGGAAACAGGAGACTGATATCTTTCTGAGGTTCAGAATTATGCAAAATACTGAAATTGATGAATGAATTTTAATCGATTTGAGTTAATTGGGTTAGTTGAGTTAAATTAGTTAATTGAGTTAATGAAATTAACTAATGACTTAAAACTATATAAAGAAATCTGAATGTTGGTTATATGGCATTGAAACAAGATTTGTTATTAATTTATTATTATATGTGTGGTAATGGTTAATTAAACAATAAAAGACAAAAAAAATATATATATAAAATGCCTTCCAGAAAAACAATACCTGTTCAACAAGTTACTCTTATTCGTTCATTGTGTGTACCAGGAGGTGGGGTTTGACCTGTAGAGGGCGCCAGTCCAACACAGGGCAACACAGAGACAACCATGCATAGGCACACACTCATAATTAATGGCAATTTAGAGAGACCAAATAACCAAACCCTTATAATTTTTTAGACTGTGAGAGGAAACTGGAGTACCTGGAGAGAAATCCCATCGTGCATAGGGAGAATATGCAAACTCCATGTAGAAAGAATTTGAACTCAGCATGGTGTTCCTGCAGTAAAATCTAGCCTCAATTA